AATCTCTCCACTCCTCTGCACCCCCTTATCTCTCTGACCTCTCTCTTCAAAACAGTGCTCGTTGCCTTCGTTCCTCTGGGTCTGGCTTCCTCCTTGTCCCCGAGTCCTCCGCTCCACCCTCGGCAGTCGTGCCTTCAGCCACTATGCCCCGAGGCTCTGGAACTCCCTTCCTCACTCCCTTCGCCTCGCTCCCTCTCTTCCTATTTTCAGGTCTCTGCTGAAGACCTTTCTTTTCGACCGCGCCTTTGGTCACCTTCCACCCCCTCCCCCTGGCTAGGCCCTGGGATCTGTTACTGTGAAGTGCTCTGAGACACCATCCGGCGTGGAGGACGCTATATAAATCCAAGTTGTTGTTGATCGAAGAGAAGGGTCTTGAGAACAGCCTTGAAGGATGCAAGGGAGGAAGCAAGGCGAAGGGACCGTGGGATGGAGTTCCAGAGTTTGGGGGCAGAGAGCCTGAAAGCCCGGCCACCGAATGTAGGGTGGGTCGGGCGGGAAACATGGAACAGTCCCAGTTTGGGACTTTGACCTCAATTAGTTCAGGTTAACATTCCAATGCAGTGCTATTTTTAAAATGAAAAAATTCCACGATTTTAATTTCTTGGACTGCATTGTTGGAGGTAACATCTTTCAGAATAAATGCTAAACCAAGGTTCCATCTACCTGTTCAGGTGGACATTAAAGATCCCAAGTACGAATCTAAAGAGGAGAGATATCCCGATGTCTTAGCCAACAATCCCCAAAATAAAATTGGTCAATTATTTCATGAATATTTTGGGGACACTGTTGTGTGCAGATTGCCTGCCATGTTTTCCTACAAAAATACAGTGATTATATTTTACAAGATATCCTGTGAAACAAATTGAGATGTCCTCTGACTTGAAAACATCAAATCAACTGCAGAGATTAGGACTTTTAGAAATATAATGGTGTATGAGGAAATGGTTAATTAAATGATTTCTTCACAGCTGAAAACTGCAGAGCTCAGGAGTCTATTTCTTATGTAGAAATCAGTAAAACATGTACAGTATTACGAAAGAACTGGGTGCATAAAATGTTTGCAGGATGTGGGCATCTGGACTCTATGGAATGTAACCTTGAATTCTGGAGGAAATGTTTTCATGGTTCATTTGTTTGGAGCTGAATATTGGATTTTAGCAATATAATATAATCCTAATTTGCAAAATGGAATTGAGACATCAATTGAGGAATTACAGAACAGTTTATCTACCATCAGGCCATAAGTGTTTCCAAGGTTTCAGCATCAATAGGTTATGCCTCATAAATCTACTGGAATTCTTTGAGGAGGTAATTAAATTAATGGATGAAGGCTATTCAGCTGGCACAATTTACTTTTAGTTTCCAAATGCATATGATTCCATTCTCTACCTGACCATCTTAAAGAAGATGCAATCTCAGCCACTTTCCCACCAGTATGAGAAAGTGTTAAGTCACGATTGGGAGTGCTTGCCTGTAAAACTATTTTCTCAGAAAATCTGAGCTGGTACAAGATTGTGGAATTTTGTTAAATCCAGTTTTATTGGAGGTGGTTTATAGAAGGCAGTTTCCACAGTTCTAAATTAAGACTGAATTGAAGAATTTTCCACTGATTTTTTGTGAAACATACTATTTTATAAAAAGTCGTATTTAAGTTTAAAGTAAATAGAGGCTTTCACAACATTACTGTGCTTGGTTTGCCATTTTAAAATTTGCCATTTTGAATGAATGGACACAGATTTGTAAAATATATAATTTGTCACAAATTATACTTTGTTTGAAATCTTGGAGAGGCCAAAAGGATAAATGTTGTGACATATGGCAAAATAGTTTCTCAATTTGCAACAAGGGAATTTTTTTTTACTCTTGTCAGTTTTCTCCTCGAGGCATTTTGACTTATTTTTCCTGTCATCCTACAATTTCACACCCAAGTGACTATTATTTATGTCTACATAAAGCCAGTGAGTTTCGGCATGTGATTCGATTGCTGGGAAATCACAGTTTGGGTTGCTACCTGGCCAGCTTGCAACCACAGCAGACGTTTTCTTTCTTGAGCCGGCTGATTGCCCTTAGGGTTTCTGTGGTGAATAATTCCACCTTAACTGCAATCTTCCAAGCTGCATGGAACTGACAAAGATGGCTTTATCTAGGATGTCTTTAGCGGGAGCTTGAAAGGGTTTTTAAGTCTCTTGCGAATGCTCTGTCAATGATTTGCACAGCATTTAGGGTTAGGGAGAGACAAAGGAAGGGGCACAGATCTACTTAAAACATGACAATACTTTAATTAAATCAGAAATCCTAGTTTTGTGCTGATTCACCTGATCTTGTAACACATGATTCAGAATTTAGATATTTGTTTTCAGTATAATATCACTCTTTGTCCTGTTCACATTCATGTTCATGCGTAACATAATGAGAAAGAAATCCTAAGGTAAAGGTTTAATTCCCTGGGATACCTGAATGTTTGTCATCGAATGTCATTGAGCCATTGACCCAGATTCCAGCTTGTTGATTTTGAATGTGTCACGGCACTTTGTATTTTATTCATTGATCTTATTTTTGGGATGCTTTTCTCTACAAACCTATTGTGAGATTTCTTTGGGTTTCGTTCTGATTTTTGAGAGGATTGTTTTATGTTGACAGTTCATGATTATTATAATCCACACTATTGAGGCTTGAATGGACAGACAGAATGGACAGTGATTGGAACATAGGCCTAGGTAACAGACGTAAGACTAGTTTAACAGTGAGTTTGTTACACTCAAGATACTGACATTCATTCAATCTTCTGGTTCTTCCGACACTGCAAACTACAAGAATGAACTTAAGGAATTTCAAGACAACATTTATACATTGTCTTTTTACTAAAATAAACCATCCCAATAACATCAGCTAACCGCAGATATAATTACTGTTTCAAATGCACAACTCAAAATTAAAAGAATGCTTAATATGTACTACTGCCAGAAACTTTCCATTAAGGTTTACGGAAACGAATCCCAAAAATATTACTGAATAAAGTATAAATGAGTGTTATAATTTCAATTTGTGATCTTGGAGTTCGGTGAGTCATTTTCCAGACATATTCTCAATTTACTTACCATTCTATGACCTTATTCTGACAATTGCTTTGTATAAGAAATAAATCTTGAGTAAATATCAAATTCTAGCGTGTATATCCATTAAGATCAAATTGATTGTTTACTTCCCCTCCCTCATAACCTAGGGTGGCTTGTCTCAAAGAAACATAGTTCAGTGAGACTTTCAAGGGCTTTAGATGCAGTGGTTGAAATTGAATTTGTTAGAAATGTATGTCCTGTGTTGGATTTGACCCGCTCTAATCTTCACAATCACCGTGAGCAAGAGAAGGCAGTACAATCAATTTAAATTTCAACCTGGGTATTGAATATATATTTTATGGAAAGTGGGTAAGCAAACTGCTGCTGACCTTAATTGGGATTTATCTTTCCTCCCTCTTTCATTTTGCCTCAATAATGTAGAAACTGCTCTGAACAGGGACTTCAAAGTCAGTTGTCCAATGACTATGTTGTCCAATGACTAAGTTCACATTGCAATTACATTCCCAATCCAATTATTGCACTGCTCTTTTGACACATCTTATAAAATGACATGCAAGACACTTTTCCAAGACATCATTGCACCTTTGAAAGACCTGTTCTCAGTGGCCAATTGACATCACTTTAGCAGTGAATCAAATGTGGTTCAACCCTCCATTAGGAACCCCTTCTCTGTAAAGCTTACTTGAAGAGGACACAGAGAGAATGATTATAAACCCTTTTAACTGTGTCTTTTTCATTGTTAAGCCTGTTCCAAGTAAGCAGTAAACTCACAGCAGGCTGTTTGCAAATAACTTGTACATGTTAAAGGTTGATATCTGAACTTCGTGACCTCTTTCTCTTGTCTGCAGCTCTTCCCAATCAATAACTGTTTTCCTGTGGTGGGGTTCCAATTCATGAATTGTATAGATATGTGTTGGTTGCAAAAAAAAGTATTAAATTACTTTATTCAATAAGCATCATTTGCAGCAATTATCTAGCAGTTTATCTCCTATATTTCACATATATTTCCTATATCCTCTCTATATTGTATAATCATGTTTGTTGAACAGACTATAAGCAGTCTGTTCACAGAAGTGTTCTTGTTCTGTTGGGTAGTCAAAACCATGAGTAACTGCTTGGCTTAAAGGAGACTTGATAAGAGGAATGGAAGTTCACCTGTGCCTGACTTTTCTGCTTCAAAGTGTGTAAGCCCAATTTAAAGTCAGCACAAATTACTGACTTAAAGTTTCCACTTTTTAATGTTTAATTTAGATAATGGTTTTAATTTAAAATCAATTTTGCAGCAGCTAACATTATGGGAAGGAATGCAAACTAGCATCAACTCTGATTCATTCTGTCAATATACTGTGTTGTGATATTTTAACTTCACAGTTTCAAGACACAAGAACATTTGTGACTTATAATGTTACAAGTGTATAATTTTACAAGTGTATGGAAATTTATAAGCAAGTTCCTATCCACTTTTAACATCACTTCCTATGCACTATACACGTACATTTAAGTGCTCTGGGATGCTAGCCTGCTTGAGGGGTGCTATATAAATGCAAGTTGTTGTTGTTTGCAAACTGATGTCAGCAGCACTTCCTGCTCATATAAGCATTGCACAGGATATGATCTTTGTGGTGCAGGAATACGCAGCTCATTGTGCAGGAAGTAATATCAGCAGCAACCTGGCCACCAGTGAGGGGAGGAGAATTTCATCTGGGTTTAGATTTAATCTTATTTTCTTAGCGTTTCACAGCAGGCAGGATTTGACAAATTGTTGAATCCAGTCTTCACTTTGAAGCTGGGTTTTATAGTTCTTAAAATAACTTACCAGAAAACCAGCTTCATGCTGCATAAATAGAGTAAATCCAGACCCAAGTAAAATTTATACTTCTAGATCACTCAAATAATTTATTCATTGTTTTTAATTTTGATCAGGATACCTTACGACAGAAGGATGACAGGATTGAGGAGTTGGAGGAGGCTCTGCGGGAGAGTGTACAAATCACAGCAGAACGTGAAATGGTGCTCGCACAGGAAGAGTCTGCCAGAAACTCTTCTGAAAAGCAGGTCTGTAGTAATTGCTATTACCATAATTCAACCTTCCATTCACCAATTGTATCTCTGCTATTCAAGTACACTTTCAGAACTGAGCTTTTTTTTATGTATCGCATCTTTCTCTACCATTGAAGCTAACTATTAAAATTATTACATTCTTTCATAGAACTATTTGTAACCAGCACTAGAATTTTTCTGCTGGTGTCAACTAGAACTGATATATCCTGCATTATAAATGTTGTCAACCTGACCCTTTAATTTAAAAAAACAGAATTTCAACATGTATCAGTAGCATTGAAAATATGTACAACCTGTATTCCAAAGTACTCTGGAAACCCGTTGATATCTGCAGTCACACTTCAAATCAAAAATCTAATCTGATTTTTAATTAAAAGAGTCCATGGTGTATATATATATTTTGCATGTTTATCAGTTTGTGATGATTGATTATGAATTATATGAAGTAGAATTACTATAAAAGGTACAACAACAACAAAATAACATTTGTATAGCACGTTTCACTTCAGGAGGACATCCTAAGGTGTTGGATAATCAGCATTTCGGACCTGAGCTGGAGGTTGGGATTGGGGAGCGTAGAGAGCAGTGGGGGAAGGAGAGTGACCAAAGGCACGGTCAAAGAGAAGGTTCTTGAGAGGGGTCTTGAAGGAGGCGAGGCAGAGGGACTGAGTTCCAGAGGTGGGTGCAGAGTGGCAGAAGGCCTGCTTACCAATGGTGGGGGACAAGATGGGGGATGTGAATCAGGCCGGAGCCCGCTGAGCAGAGGGAGCGGGCAGGTTGGTAGATGGTTAGAAGGTCGCAGAGGTAGGGGGGAGCAAGGCCATGGAGGGCTTTGAAGGTGAGGACCAGGATCTTGAACTGTATCCTCTGTGTGATGGGAAACCAGTGGAGTCAGGAGAGGATGGGGGTGATAGGGTCATGGAGCCTGGTGCAGGAGAGGACACGGGCTGCAGAGTTCTGGATGATCTGCAGCCTGAAGGGAGGAGTTGGGGAGGCCAACAAGCAAAGAGTTTGCATAGTCAAGCCTGGATGTTACGAATCTGTGTACGAGGGTCTCGGCGTCGGTACTGGCGGAGCCGGGCGATGTTGCGGAGGTGGGGGATGCAGAGCGGGACATGGCACGGATGTGGGGTAGAAAGAATAGTTGAGGGTCAAACAAGACTCCAAGGTTCCTGACTGGCCTGGTAAGGTGGAGTGTACATCCACTCAAGAATGTGTTACAGTAATCAAGAATTCAAACAATGTGAAGTGTGAATGTAGGTTATGCCAGAAAAGTTTCCTGTCTGGTGTTGAGAAAAACATTAACGGTAATAAAGCATCTCGACATGTAAAGCAGATATATTACGTAGCAGATAATACAATTGTATCATGTATTTTACATTTGTGTTGTGGACACAAGTTCTTTGTTGTATTGTGAGTACATCCTGATGGGATACTGTGGTTTGATAGATGTGCAGGTTGTTGTTTTGTTGCAACATAATCATGGTGGATGTCAGGTTTTATGCAATGTTGCAAAGGATTTTACCCCAATTTTTCTCTACCTCATTCTCTCTATTCTTTCCATCCCTGTTCTTTGCTCTGAAACCTCTCCATTGTGTCATGAATCCATAAGTGAGCACCAATCTGCAGTTCTGCACAATGATATTCCCATAATTACATTGCTCTACATTTATATTTGCCTACAATATACACAGTCATTACACTTTACGGTCAATGTTTTAAGCGCTTTGAGATATCCTCTTGGTTGGTTGGTTGAGCTACTTTAGTCTTTCACAAGCTTACTGTACTTAGATCACGTTGTGTATGGCAATGTACATATTGTTTTGCTGATGAAAAAATCAACTCTTAAGTATCATTTTGCTTCTTGATAAATGTAGAAACACTCGTTCCACATTTCTGTTACAGCTTTACATTAACCTGAAAAACATCCAAAACATTTTCTTTGTGACAAATGTACATTTTAAGTTACATCAATGGAGGACTGGAAAGACTGACATCACAATCTATAAGAGATTAATGATTCATCAGGTCTTATAAAATGTAGATCCTCCGGTAGATTTCTGGAGCTGAAACGCACTCTTCTAAACTCTGCTCGAGTTGCTAGACCCCATCCAAGGAGCATGGGCTGGATTCTTCCTCACCAAGACCCACAAATGAATCCAAAAAGGACAAAACAGAATATTTTCTTCATGGTGAGAAAATAAGGACTGTGGAGGAGTAAAGAAATATTGGAAGAGTGTCCATTAACACAAATCACTAAAAACTAGTAGTTTACATAAAGTAGTTAAAAAGGCTAATCGATTGTTGGCCTTTATCTCAAGGGGGCTGGAATGCAAAAGTGAGGAAATGATGGTTCAGCTGTACAGAGCCTTGGTCAGACCCCATCTAGAGTACTGAGTTCAGTTTTGGGCACTGCACCTCAGGAAAGATATATTGGCCTTGGAGGAGGTGCAGTGCAGACTCACCAGATTGATACCAGGTCTTAAAGGGTGAAACTATGATGCGATTGTGTAAACTTGGTCTATGATTGTGTAAACTTGGTCTATGATTGTGTAAACTTGGTCTAGTCCCTTGAGTTTAGAAGGTTGAGGGCTGATCTGATTGAGGTATTTACAATGATAAACAACAACAACTTGGATTTATATAGCGCCCTCCACGCCTTACGGCGTCTCAGAGCGCTTCACAGTAACGGATCCCGGGACCAAGCCAGGGGGAGGGGGAGGAAGGTGACCAAAGGTGCGGTCGAAAAGAAAGGTCTTCAGCAGAGACCTGGAAGTAGGAAGAGAAGGGACGAGGCAAAGGGAGTGAGGAAGGGAGTTCCAGAGCCTCGGGGCATAGTGATTGACGGCATGGCCGCCAAGGGTGGAGCGGAGGACTCGGGGGACAAGGAGGAGGCTAGATCCCACAAATATACAGTCAATTCACTTTACAGTGTATTCTGTGAAGCGCTTTGGGACGTCCTCCCGACGTGAAAAGCGCTATATCAAATGCAAGGATTATTATTATTATTATTATTATCCAGAGGAACGAAGACAACGGGTACTGTTTTGAGGAGAGAGGAGGTCAGAGAGCTAGGGGGCTGCAGAGGAGTCGAGGAATTTGAAGACAAGGGATTCGATAGGATAGCTCCAGATAAACTATTTCCTCTTGTGGGGGAATCCAGGGGCCATAATCATAAAATTAGAGCTGGTCTATTTAGAAGTGAAATCAGGAAGCATTTTTTCACGCAAAGGGTAGTGGAAATCAGGAACACTCCCTCAAAAGGCTTTGGATGCTGGATCCGTTGAAATTTTCAAGACTGAATTGGATAGATTTGTGTTAGGTAAGGGTATCAAGGGATATGGGGCGAAGATGGATAATTTGAGTTCAGGTACAGATTAACTATGATCTAATAGAAAGATCTACTCCTGCTCCTAAGTTCCTAAGGTTGTCCATTAACCCTTTTGACTGTTGAATCATGTGTGATGAAGGCCAGGAAGAAAAATAGATTCATTAAAATAGTAGTTGTGATAAAAAAAAACATTTCCTAGATATGAAAGCACACTAAATGTGTTATCAAATTATCAAACGAAATTACAATTATACAAATTGAATCTATGGTCATTTTATGACTTTATGACAAAATTGTATTTTGTTATTATACAATTTGCATATCTTATTCAAGAGTTTTTATTCATTAAACAGGGTAATAGGATTTTTACCTTGTGGCAAGAATTTGCACGCCTCAATATGAGTCTTCCAATATTGTTCAGAAATTCTCCCTTGAAGTAGAATTACTCTATTTATGTGGTATTTCAGAGCATCCAGAATTTCTTAAATGCAGCTTTATTTTTTAACCTGATTTTCTGCAAGTTTTTTTTAAGAACTACAGAAAAGTAACTTCAACGGTAAGACTAAATTGAACAATATGCTAAAAGCTGAATGCAATATATATTATATATATTGAAATGGTGTGGAAATAATAGATTCACCAATTAGCACTGTGCTTTTCTACTGCTCCTGTTCTTGGACTAATCTGCTTTGCATACTTCTCTTTTTTCCCATCATGCGACACATTGCCTATACGAAGCATGTTAATGAAAGTTTGCATGACTCCAACCACTTTGCCTTTAAATGGTTCAAGGTATGGGAAGCATCTTTCTCTTCTTTTATTTCTTGTTCATTCACATTATTTTCTGCTGTCTGTTATTTCCATCTCTAATTTCTATTGTCATGTTTCTGTCTTCCACTCTTTATATAACTGTGCTAGTTTAGAGTCAATGTACTCCACTAATGCACTCCCCTTCCTAAAAGTCAAACTGTTGCAAAGATTTATCATCAACTTTAAATTCCTTTTTTGTTCTGCATCATCCCAGGGTACATTTCAAATAAAAAGCTCATTTGGTTGGGAGCTCCCAGGAGATGTGAGTGCCCAGGACTTTTAAGACAACAGACTGTGAGGAGATTATGAGCAGTTACTAAAAAGAACTGGCTTCCAAATGAAGAAAGAATTTTTCACAATTCTACAAAATCTTAAAATTTAAGCAAAATAGTCTTACAAACTCAGACTCGGCACAATTCCAGTCCCACTGAGTTTTTGTACTTTTGATATTTTAAAAGCTGTCTAAATGTTGGATTCACTGTTTTGACTAGCATTCTTTCAGGACTGATTTCTAAAGGCTGTCTTTAGGATGATATTATCAGACTCTGCACCACAGAATGATAGAGAGTGTGATTGCACTTGGAGCTCCCAACCAAATGAGCTTCTTATTTGAAATGTACACTGGGATGATGCAAACTGGAAGCTAGGTAATTCTTAGTAAATGGGGAGTAGAACTGCCCACTTATAAACAGAGTCTTTATAACAAGCGTTTGAAGAGTTCAGTGAATTCTGGGATAGCTGTGTTTCTTCCATGGTCCCTTGCTTTCTCATAGAGCAGCACAAAAAAGAAAAACGTGCTAAATGTCTACTCTGGTGCCATCATACAGTTGGGTTACTTGTGAGTGAAGGCCAA